TAAATCAGATGAGCTATCAAAATCATTGATATATATTAAGAAAAGTAAAGGACCCAATACTGAGCCTTGCGGTACACCACATACAACTTCATTAAGATTAGATTTTACATTACCAACAGAAACAAACTGTTTTCTAGCTTTCAAATACGAATTAAACCATTTAATGGTTATACCTCTGATTCCATAATGCTGCAATTTATATAACAAAATAGAATGTTCAACTGTATCAAATGCTTTACAGAAATCAAGAAATATTCCACAAGAAACAAGTTTCTCTTCAATTGCTCTTTGAATTTTATCAACAATAAGAATTAAAGCATGTGATGTAGAGTGATTTTTCAAAAACCAAACTGTGCAGGAAATATAACATTTTTGTTAAGAAAATCTATCAGCCTAATATACATCAATTTTTCTAGCAGTTTACTAAATACAGAAAGTAAAGAGATTGGTCGATAATTAGATAAATACGAACTTGGACCTTTTTTATAAATGGGTACATGCAACTTGTGCAATTTTAAGATTGCTAGGTACAATTCAGTTGAAAATGAACAATTAAAGATATAACTTAATGGTAAAGATACATGGGTTTTGATAATCTTCAATAAATTAATTGGAACACTAAATGGCACAGATTATTTACCCAGTTTTAAGTTCATAATTAAATTTTCAATCTCATAACTATCAGTTGGAAAAAGCATCAAGCTATTACTTAAAGGCCTTTTAAGAAAACTATTAAAAGTAGAATTAACACTAGGAATATTTGCAGCAAGCTTAGGTCCAATTGATGTAAAATAATCATTAAATTTAGAAGCAATATCAGTAGGATTAAAAATTCTTTCATTTTCCACCTCAATTAATGTTGGAAAGGTATGATTAGCTTTTTTTAATGTAATTAGTTGTTTAATTCCCTTCCAAACATCTTTAATGTTATCCTTTCTCAATCGAAAAGAATTGTTATAGTAATTCTTTTTACTTATAAGCAATAAATGTTTTAGTTTATTTCTGAATGATTTAAATTTTGATAAATAATAATGATTTTTTGTCTTAAGATATAATTTATAAAGTTTATTTTTATTTTTAATTGAACTTCTCAAACCTTTTGTAATCCATGGTTTAGTTAACCATTTAACTTTATTTTTAGACATTTTTTTTAAAGGAACATGTTTATCAATAATTGTAATAAGTTTGTCATAAAAAGTATTAAATGCAGTATCTACATCATCGGTATTTGTAACAGTATTCCAATCCACGGCAGAGATTTCTTCATTAAAATCTTCTTCATTATTGTGTGAATAATCTCTTATAAAAATTTCTTTATTATATGTTTTACACTTCAGTTTACTTACAATAAGAAAGTTTGGAAGGTGATCAGAGATGTCATAAATAAGATTCCCACTGATAGTAACATGTTCAATAGAATTAAAATAAATGTTATCAATCAATGTAGCAGAGTGATCAGTAATTCGAGTGGGCTGAAGAATATATGGTTGAAAGAAATAGGAAGGCATTGCATTGAGAAAGTCATCAGTACCATCATGAGACTCACAGTTTAGTAAATTAATATTAAAATCACCCATTACTACACAACATGAGAATAATGCAGATATCTGACATTTTCTGTAATGAATGCACAGTAGGAACATCAAATTTAATACAGGTATTTGAACCTAAGTATAAAATAAAGTAGGTTTGAAAATCAGTGGCAATTTAAACGGTTACAACTTACTATTCCGTACAAACTATATTCATAACATAAGAAATTCATAGCTCTGCACACTCACACGTGTTGTATCTTTGAAACTGCTGTGGATAGGTTTTTCACACCAATAAATCTGTATTCCTCGAGCTGTTCTGCAGTTTCAGCATCCTTATTTATTTTGTGGCGAACACGTTGTGCCTTCCTTCTTCACGTGCCAACAATAGTTTGAGAAAGAGGGACATGGCTTACATCTTCTGTGTTCAACGTTTGACACGAGTGGCACTTTTAAGTTGATCTCAATCATACTTTTCGTTTGCCTGGCAGAAAACTGTCCTTTTCTCTTTCTTTTGTACGAAGATATATCTTTTCCACCAACCATTTTAGAAGTTCAAAACCAGTATTTGACTGTTGTAACTTTGATAAATTTTCAAATTTATTTTTGGTCGTGCGATACGGAGCCAAATAAAAACGTGCCCGCGGTTCAAATGAACTTCCAAATACTTCATGTAAGACAAAATAAAGTCTATCAAAAGGATTTGTTGCTTTCTAGGGACTTTCGTACAAACAATAGTGCAAAATTGAGCGAAAAACAAAAATGTTGCCATGGTAACTAACCTTTGATTTAGCACAGGGTAATTTATAAGCCTTTAAAAAATGTTAAGGATTTAGAATTTAAAAAAAAACCTGTTTGGCCATATGTTAGTTGAGTACTTAAGTCCGCAAATATGATGAAAATTTCCATTTTTTTCGAAATTAATGAGTTAATATAAATATTAATATAAATATTAATATATATATTAATAGAAACAATAACAACATTAGTAAAAGCCTTGAAGATGGGGCAGTAATAATTTTATACCTGTTTATGATAGTGGAATTTTAATAATAATGTTAATCGAATGTTTAGTTTTATCATTGAATTTACTGTACAATCAATTTAACTGGAGAAGATGTATGAGTCATGACAGACCAAATTGAGTCAACCAACAATATAGAACTAGTTCATGGGCTATCATATCTTGATTTTGCTTCTTTCATACACACACAATTTCAATTTACGGTCCCCGACACAAAAAGGGTCGACCTCTGACAAACACACTACACTATTTGCATACTAGTAGACATACTTGCATGCAACAACCCCTCGCTTATATTCTCCAAACATTGTCTCAACATGAAGTATTCGTAATTACGCCAACATTGAAGGCAGGCTCGTGTTGCTCACGTCATGTTAGTCATGGCAACACGATAATTGTTTTTTAAATTTTTTGTGTCAACCTGCAAACAGTAGACGAAACTTGAACACTTTTAAGTACAGAACTATCAATTTCTAAAATATATAAAGTAGGTATATGATTTTGGTTTCTATGTGCTTTATTTTAATTAATGTAAAATTGAAAACGAAACTCCACGTAAAACGTTTTTGCATGTGAATTGAGATTAACTGCAATTTGAAATGAAATAAATTTAATTCTTACAGAACGCTAATGAAAATGATATGCTTTCCTTTTTCTCATGAACTTCCACAAAATTAATTTAACTATGAAACTTTCGCATACAATACATAGGAAAGACTTGAACAACAAGAACAAAGTATATAATAATAATACAAAGCCGTACAAAAACAATTGAAAAAACTTGCCCAATAGGCTAAATTTAGGATTTCTCATACTAAATCAATTCTTATAAATGTTTACGTTTAAAAATTGAAAAACGTTCTATAATGTGTTATGTGAAATGATTTTCCAACCTTTCTTAGATGTAATTTTTATATTTCCCCCCTCTTAACTCCTGGCAAACAGCCATATTTTGAGATCAGTGAGATGACAACCCATACATCCATGAACCCATGAACCGCGCCCGCGATATTTGATGAACTTTAGACTTCGCTAGTGCATTCCTTTCCCCTTGGTGTAAATAGCCGGGCGGAATTAGTTCCCTCTAGCCGAGCTTGCGCCCGGAACAGCGCTCCGCGCCATTGGCTCGGGGAGCTCGTTAAGTTTTTAATTTTGTCAAAAATGGGCAAAATGGCAAAAACAGTGAAGTTTAACTCTTTTAACTTTCGAACTAAATATATATAGAGTAGTTATTTTCTTTTTTTTCTCTTCTAGCTTCAATTTATGGTAAGATTCAACATTGAACGCTTCACAAAATGTTAATTTAACTTTATATTATACATTCTTGTTCTTTTTTAACAGTTTTTGCCGATTAAATTAACTATTTAACTTAGTCTTTTATTACTAGCAACGACATCGGTTTTATTATACAGTCTTGTTCGGCCGGAACGGCGATTGAGAAAAATCTTTGAAATGGTTGGATAAAAAACATGGTTGGATAATGTGATATGATTATTAATATACACCTGATATGTAATTCCAATTATACTGTTATTTAAATCATGGTATATTTTTAAAATAAAGTTACTTTTGAACGGCATTCAAAGTATTTATAAAAAGAGCCAGAATGATGATCTTTTCCTGAGTTTGGAATGTTTGTGTAGTTGTTTCAGTGTTTTAAATGAATTAGTAACACCATTTTTGAAGTTGAAAATTGTCTGTTTACCCCAAACAAATTCTCACCTTTTCTCTATCCCGTCTTTAAAACCAAAAATTCTGTTGGATTCCAGTTTGGTCTTTGCCTGAAGGTTGTTTCAATTATGAATAAAAAGTCGCCCAACCCATAACTTGCTAAATAGTTCGTAGTATAGATACTTAGCTAACATTAGTGTTATACTGCATTAGGAGTAGTTGTATTGTGTAATTGCATTATCAATTCTTTGTTAACTCTTGCAATATATAGTCTTCTAGCAGTGTGTGGTAGTTGCCTTATCAATTAGTGCTTTGCTAATTACTTGAGGGCTCCTGCTTGACAGTCTCTTTGAATGACACCTTGTATTTCGATCACTACTGTTGTTCAGAACTGTGCTTTTCCTGATGATGTTGCCTACATGTTGTTCAGAACTGTGTTTTTCCTGATGATGTTGCCTACAATACTTGCCTGATGAATCAGAGAGTTTTGAAGGAGCAAAAACTATTCACCAGCAAATTATCGATCGTATTACATGGTCAAAAGAACAACTTTTAAAGACAAGGGCAAAGTAACCAAATGAATGCTACGGATAGATTTACTAAAAAAGCCGCTCTGGTTTTCCTGGGGTAGTTTCCATATCCTTCCAATGAAAGAAAAGAGAATAATGCAGATATATGACAAATACGTTCAACAAAGTTTATTTAGACTGTTCATCTTGATAACCTAATGCAATAACTTGCTCCACACAACAACGAATGGCTGCTTGCTCAACACAAAAACTTGTTATTTGTCCTAGAAGGCTGTATTGAACAAATGCGAGAGCACCAAGTACATTTGTCGTTTTAAATTTGCCTCGACGGATTAACAGTGTCAACAGCTGGACTGCACAACCACAGACGACTTTCATCCAGGATAACACAACTTACTGTGTATGATTGGTATAATGGTACGGGAAATCCATCACCAAGCAATAACACAAATAAACATCCCTCTTCAGTCAGCATTAAAAATAACTGCCCCGCCCCTGTATGCATTTCCCACCAATTCACCCATCAACTTAAAACATTATGTTAGTTTGTAGAACATGTCAATTAGAATCAACATTAACATTTCCTAGCTACCTAAATACCTTTGTTTTGTTTCTAAATTTGAACTTACCTAGCTGCTCAACTCCATTTACCACCAAGATATCATTCCTTTTGACACATTACCCTAGTTTCCTGTGACAGCATATCCATAACCTTAACAACATATCAAGTGCTGCTGCCCTGTTGACGACATTTCCATCAACTATATGAGGCTAAGAAGTCTTCACGCTTAGAAAGAAACATATTGCTGGAAGACATCATTCTAAACAGTCCTTACCATATACTACCAAAAGGTGGTTCACATGTATGCTAATACAAAATGGTGGACATGAATTATAGAATTGCTCAGCAAAAATGCTGGAAACTCGAGTTTGTTTACAAATTCCACTTGCTCAATACATGGCTATTTGTGATGATCCGAGAATTCAAATTGGTACTCTAGTATGCCAGAAGTTATCCTTCGGAGGTGATACACTTGCAACTGTTACGTTCTTGTCTAATGTGACCATAATTGTATATTTTTGGGATTTTCGTAATGAATATGGGAAACAAATGAAAATGCTGAATCATCGAAAATGTTGAAAATATTGAATCACCCGATTGATACTTTATTGCCCGAATCTTCCATTTTCATGTATGGTTAAGTGCACAATTACAAACAATGTTTCTTCAGTCAAAGGAAGGTGCATCGAGAACTTTTAGCAAAATTTGGCAAAGTCGATTGCTTACATGGATGTTCGTGTATATGTTACTGCTGTCTAGCCAAGAAGTGTCATTCTAATCTATACAAGACTGTACTCGAAATGAAGGTTAATTAGCTGAAGTGAAACCTGATTTGAGCTGTCAAGCAGAATGCTCGCAATCTACCTTAAAATCAAACTCTAACACATTTTAATATTAATCCTTCAGGCTATCCTGGCTAGTGCTTCCTCTCTTGCCATGGTTCTCGGCCTCAATCTCACACCAGAGAATGTTGTCCTTTTCATAAGGAATGTTCTTTATCAGAATAAAATTAACTGTTTGTTAAAGCTGTGCAGAACTCACACAATGTACGGCTGGTGGGACATCTGTCATCTCCACTCTTCATGAGATGCTGCAGTAAAAATTGGGTCCAGGTTCTTCCTTTTTTCCCTCTATATGATTATACCCCTTCCGTTTTCGGGTTCCTCTTTTGCCATCCATTCTTTCAGTTACTTACAGGGATAGGGTGAGATTAAATTAAATACAATACGTTTGTAAGAATTGATTCCGTATGTGTCTGTATAAAACCACGTGTAAATTGATTTTTAATGTCCTTCCACAAAAGTAACTTTGTTGTAGAAACAGACTGGTATTTCAGTACTATATTACCACACACTTTCCTTTACTATTTTAATATCTGTTGTGATGGTAATATTTTCAAACTATCATGTTGGCACAGAAAAAAATGCTTCAAGTTATTTGATGAGAACGTCTTTAAATCTAAGATGTCTAATCCTATCACATTATATAACCAAATTTCAGTTATAAACATTGCACACCTCAAGTCTAGGTTAGACATACAATATTTTGCTCATGCTGGCAATGCAATGGGTGAAATTTTATTGCGTTCCCTACACAAAAGCAGAAATTGTATAGATCATGGTAAGTGCGGCAACATAATTATTACCAGATATATGTGACAATTGTTGGCGAAAATTAAAATGGTTTAACTTTCGGCAACGATTGCGAGGTTAATAATTCCACCCGGCTATTTACCCCCGGTGAAAAGGAAAGCGTTAGCGAAGTTTAAAGTTCATCAATGTTTGCCGGCGTGGGATACCGTGTGTTGTGGGTGATCATCCTCACTGATATAAAAATAAAGCGGACTGTCATGAACAGCAAACACTGATTGGTCCATTTTTATTTTGCAATATAACGATTGCATGAGGACAGCGAAATAGGAAACTTTCCGGTTTTGATGATTTCTTTCGAATATATTTAATTTTTGCAAGATTTTATCAATTTCAAAAAGAAGGCGGAATAATTCTTAAAAGAAGGGAACAAAGGTGCCGAAGTTAACAAATGAAGGTTTGTTTTAAATATTGATTTATTGTTTCCTTTATAATTGCTTTAAAAGCTGATCGTTGTGTATGTTTTAAATGAAAAAAAGACAGGATATAATTTCAGTCTTGAATCTTTATTGATTACCCTTTTTCTATCATCTGAAATTTTTAAATAAAAATGAAAGCAAAGTTATTTGCATGAGAATGTGAAATCATTTTATTTCAAACTTAATGTTTATCGATAAATGTTAAGTTTAGTTTAGATTTATAATGAACATTTTAAAATGTTTTGCGAAGCGTTTGTGGTTGAATTTTACCCTAAATTGAAACTTATATTACATATAATATACCTAACATATATATGTTTGGGAAATTGATAATTTTGTAATTAAAAGTGATATTTTTATGGGATTTTTCATTTCCAAAATATTCTTAATGAAAGTATGGTGTTACCATGATAACTACATTAAATACTTTTTGATTGGAAAATACAATGGTTTTGGCAGCAAGCCGAGGGTTTCTGCATGCATGTATTTTCTAGAAATTTAATATTATGATGAATTAAAATGTTTATTATTTGTCGCACGACTGCTGTAAAGAGGGGAAGGGAATGTTGAAGAAGGCTTCGAAATGATAAGGCCGTCATTAAGATCCTGAATTTTGAGTGTGATATGCCTTCCTAATAAAATATTTAACAATTATTCTCCGAAGGTGAGGTTATTACCGATGAATATTCACCGAGACGAAGTCGAATTAAAGTTATGAAATGAAACTGTTTTGGGGCAGTTCACATCTATTATTTTAGTGATGCAGTGTTTTTTGTATGCACACGCTTTCAAAATGGCTTTCTGTGTGAATTTATTGCTTTATTATCAAGTTGTTTTTTCTCGATTTCTGCTATATAATCCGTGCGTCGTATGGTTTACAAAATATGAATGTACGACAAATTCGACAATAATAACGATTTTTGGCAAATTTTTTTTTTAACTTTTCTGTCATTTTTATCTTTTTTTGTTTCGCTTTTTTAACTTTTTTGTCTTATGCCTTCTTTTTAAAACATTTTCTGTATAATTAACAACAATATTCGAATAACCCCCTGGGTTAAAAAATATGGGGTGAGAAAAATGTTAACTTTCCAACCAATTAAGAAAATGTTCTTTTAATGATTTTTCTTTACTTTTCTTATGCTTTTTGGTTTAGACTTTGCAACTGAACAATAATAACGATTTTTTGACACAAATTTTTTTTTACTTTTCTGTCATTTTTTATCTTTTTTTTCACTTTTTTTTGACCTTATGCTTTTTAAAATATTTTCTGTATTAAATTAACAACAATATTCGAATATAACCCCCCCCCCCCTGGGTTAAAATATGGGGTGAGAAAAAAAGTTAACTTTGCAATCTTTTAATGATTTTTCTTACTTTTCTTATGCTTTTTTCCTTTCGGCTTTTCTGGTGCCGGTGCAGGTGCAGCTGGTGGTGTTTGTTGTTCCTCTTCCTCGTCGTCAGATTCGAGCATTGCTGCCAAATTCCTTTTTACACCATGATGTGTTACTGCGGCACTTGTCGTACATGTCTCCGTCAGTAGGGTTCGCATGCCTTTTACAGTCGGGTTTGCTTTGAATTCTGTCATCTCTGGATAGAATGTTTCGTGCCCTTTAGATGCATATGCATCAGGGTTATTTAAAAGTGTCTTGATCACTGTATAATGGGTGCCAAGGAGATTCATTGCACCTCCAAATTTCATCATGTCTTGGAAGAACTTGTCGACTGCTTCATTTTCTGTGAGCATGGCTTTAAGGAATAGCTTCATGTCGTCTGGGGTAGCAGGTTCCTGATCGGCGTTTTTTGTGTTTAGTTTTTTCACCAGATCCGTAAAATATACAAACGTTATCTTTGATGGTCTTGACGCTACTTTGCTTGACATAAGAAGAATGATTTTCACTGACGAATTCAAATTTTTTTCTATTGTTTCTGCGAATTCGCTTACGCCAGTCTGTGGCCTGCGAAGCAATTCGCAGTTGATAGACGAAAGACGACGCATAACAACTTCTTGTGAAGGTGCCTCATCAGCCATTCCATATGGCTTTAGGAAGTTGGTGGGAAAATGTCTGAAATAATTTACAGCATGTGAAACTGGTTCGTTTGATTTGATTTGTTTTTTGGCTGAATACATCTAAAAAAGATGCAGAAAAAAGTTCTACATATTGCGTGAACAGAAATACACTTATGGCATTGAAGTAAATGTGTTAGTTGTAGCCAAATTTATGATACGGTTTTGGAAATATGGTAGAAGCAAATGGTAAGTGAATGAATTTTGTTTATTTTCAACTTCGTTTATCTGACAGGTTTTGCATGATGTTGAAGCAATGGGTAAAAACGTGTAAAATTATTAATATTTGAAAGAATGACAAACAAATTTTATGCTAATTGACTCAATCGTGTTACTGGAGTAAAGAAACAAGGTTCAAGCTTTGTCATGAAATATATGTCATTGCGCGATCTCACTCTTGATAAAGCAACATATGCTGTACCAGGTGGAATGTTGTCTATGTCAAACCACACAACTGCTTTATCAAGAGTTTGGCCTTGTGCTTTGCAGATTGTTGTGACATAACCTGGACAAAATGGATACAAGGTATATCGTCGGAGAATTTTTTAAAAATGTATTTAAGGCAAGCAAAAGAAACGATTACGACAGTGGCAAAACCGTGGCCGTAATAAGCCAAATTGTGTTCAGTTCATTTAGGAATCGAAGTTAGTTCTACCTCGGAACTATCCAACCAAGTTTGTAAGTGTGGGCGAAATATCCGAAACGCAAGCGAACTGATTGCCGTAATCAAACAAGACATATGATGTAGTAGCCTAATTTAAAATAAATCCCTAATGCGCCGTGTTATTTTTGTTATTTTTAATTGAAACCCGCAACTGGTCGATTTAGAAAGTGTACGAGATAGTGTACGAGATAACATTTGTGTTTTCGAGAATAAATCATCGAAAATCTTTCTTTACAATTTTTATCTTCTAGACTGTAAAAACTGATAGGTTAAAAAAAGTTATTTGGTTTGGTGTAGGACAACCCGATAAATATAGGTTATTTCCATAGGTTAAGAGAATTAACTTTAACCTACCAATCTATAATATGTTATTTTAACATATTAATTATTTGTTGATTGAACTAAACATTTTTGGTTATCTTGACCAATTAAAAAAGGAATTTCAACCTAAATCCAAAATTAAAATGATTAAAATTTAAACTGTTAAAATGAGCATATTTCAACCAAACGAATATAGGTTGTTTTAACTATAATACAAATAGTACGGATATTCACCAATAATATTTGGTTGATTTGGCCAATTCTTGTTGGTTATAACAACCATTAAAAAACTCATTAATAATTCATGAAGACAACACAAAGAAAAATCATAAGCGTGTCGTATCTGTATTTCGGCGAGAGTTTGTATATCCGATACAACACGGCCGCTCATGTTGTAATTAGTACGTAAATAACGGTCCAAGTCGGAGTACGAAACAACGCACTTTGATTTGTTATAATAATAATAATTTATTTGGTTTACCACAAAAAAATGCAAATACTAGAAAATCATACATATCACAAAAAAATAATTGTGGTGAGGAAGCCCAAATAGAAACCATCAGGCTTGTATACTTTGGGCTACCTCATTGATTTCAGCTAGATTAAATGAAACATGTGCATGATACAAGGGCAAAGACAGATATTCGAGTAAAATTGAAATGAGCCAAATTACTAAATATTGAAACTATATGTAACGAGAAAAAAGAAACGATCTTCACTTAGATTGAAAACTAAAAATAGATGATGAATTACGTATATCGGGATTCAACGTATTGAAAAATTTTGGTCCTTGATAATTGACAGAAAATAGGCGAGTATTTGTTCTGCATTAAGGGACGCTAAGTGTTCTTGATTTACGGGTATTATAATTGTGAATTTGATTTACAGTTAAAAGTGGACATTCAAAACAATCAGGAAGCAATTTATGTTTGTATTGATAAATAAACTTTCCGAGGTTAAATAAATAGATATCTTCGAATTTCAATATTTTAAGTTCATCAAAAATAGGACTGGTATGCACACCGAAGTCCTGTTTATCAATGATTCGTAACACACGTTATTGTAAGACAACAATGCGATTGAGATTAGTTGAATGCGTCGATCCCCATACCGTAATACAATATTGAAGATATGGATATACCAGAGCAAAGTAGAGCATTCGCAAAGCTGATTTGAAGAGATAAAAACTTGATCTATATATAATTCCAATAGATTTAGAAATTTTATGAGCAACATGGGATATATGTGCTTTCCATGATAAGTTCTCGTCTAACATTACACCAAGAAAACAAACTTCTTTGACTTTATTAATTTCATTATTGTTTATTTCCAGTTTCAAGTCAAATTTTTCCCTTTTTTGCCTTGGCTTAAATATTATATAGTTGGACTTGGTTGTATTAATAGAAAGTTTATTCGATGTTAAATGATGTTGTGTCAACTAAATAAGGTACACTGAAACTAGATAGGGCAATAATTCTAGTAGGTTACACCCCCCCCCCCATATAGCGTTCAAAGGGATGCCGCCAATGACGTCAACAGGTGTGTACGTCCGAGCGTTCGTACTTAGTGTACGTCCATGCGTTCGTACTTAGTGTACGTCCAACAGTTCGTACTTAGCTTGACACAGCGTGCGAGCGTAGCTACGTAATTGGTTAACCTTTTACGTAATTGGTTAATTTAGATGGGCCCAAACCAATTGAATAGGGCTAACAAATGTTTTCTTTCCCGATCAGGTATACGTTCTTCAAGGTCGAGTAATGTTGACGTAATTTCGCCTATAGAATTTCGGAAGCTATGCAATTTGTTTGAGACAATATTTGCACAAACTGTTTCTTGCGAGATTTATGAGCTTTTCAAAGAGAGGTGCTGTGGTTGTAAACTAAATCGCTTTAGTCTGAGTGAGTGTCTTATGTTATCGCATGAGGAGAGATCGCAGTTGTATGATTTGGAAGCCATAGAGCGAGTTACCAAAAATACATGGTTTGGAATAAGTTTGTTGAGGTGACCAAAGCTTTAGAGCTTCAGTGGGATGAATACGTGTTTGAATATTGGAATCAATTGAGGAGGGACCCCATGTATGTTAAATCAATGATGAGTGTGGAGAACAGTGAGATGCTGAGTATTTTAGACCAACTTTCTAACTGGAAAGAGGATCGTCGTGATGACCCACTTGAACCTGGGGCTATGGTCTTTTTTTTCAATGCCCCCTAGTTTTAAGTATACCGTTAAAGCGACAGGCGAGCAATTTATAAGTCATGAAGAAGATCATTATAAGGCATATGTGGAATATTTGAGAAGTAAACTTTGAGATTGATTGATTCAGTGTAAATATGTTAATAAACGAGTTTCGTTTTTATTCTTTTTGTAAATTTGGTGGTTCTTAAAAGAACCGGTGTTTTGTGTTTGTCTTTACTGCTGCAGCCACATCGCAAAGACGTCGACTTTTGCGCAGTGTTGATAAGCATTGCTTTCCAAATGGTTCCCGCAGGTTTCTAACCGGATCAGTTGATCAAATAGTTTTTCAGCTTTTGGACAATTAAAGCATTCCAATTTTACGGCCAGAATACGGAGACTCGCCAGCAAAACCCTTTCGTAATGTCCTCCTTTGAAGACAATTGTAGAGTTTGAATCTATCTGTATTTCACGGTAGAAATTCTCTACAATTACCTGCAAGTACGAAATTTGAAATGCTTTAGTTCCCCCGTGGCACTCCAACGGGAGTTTGTGTATCTTTTTCTGTACGAAGTTACACGTTCTCTTGTCTTTCTCGTTGAGCTCGTTCCAGTGTAAGCCAATATAAAAAAAAAGAACGATGAGGCTTCAGAGTCTCCGACCTTTGTGACTCCCAACTCCTTACAGAAAATTTTTTTTCCAATTTGAAATCCGTCCATGTCAAGGATCCCAACGATGTCTGCTTTACACTGCATGTTGGCTGATTGATTGTGATGTGATTTATTCAGCTTTTATTTGAATGTTAATAACAACGTACGAACAGTTTTGTACGAACAATGGAGTGCGAACAGAGCCGTACGTACGCTTTATAGTGCGTACGCTTTATTGCACGGACAATTAGTACTTACGACATTGCGCGCGAGGCACTTTTATGTGTAAACGTTTAATATATTGTGTAGCTCTTATACATTGGTTATTGATGTAAGGCTGTTGTTGCTTTGAGAAATAAATTGTTTAAAGCATAAATTGGGGGTATTAGTTAATGCATGGATTAGATTGTTTAAAACACTGATCTGTGTTTTTTTTGGCTGCGATATAACTATCGCGTCGGTACAAAGATTAATCCATGTGGCATGTGTTAATTGATGCATGTAGTCAACCTGCGCGCGAGCTCTGGCAATAATATTTTGCTCTTAAAATCAGTTCGATTTCGTGTTACCTCCTAGTTTTAAGTATACTGTTATCTCCCTCGTTTATCTCCCTCGTTTATCTCCCTTTTGAGCAAGCATTGGAACATTTTAAAAACTTTGGGAAAGATCGTAATGCAACTTCTGATGAACTTGAGGCGGAGTTCAAGCTTTTGCTTTAGGCTTTATAAATTTTGTTTAAAACATAAATTTCTGTATTAGATTATGTGAATTAGGTTGTTTAAAAACACTGTGCGTTAGTTTATGCGTGTGTCTTATCGCATGTATATCAACATCGAAGATGTATATCAACATCGAAGATTTGTTCTATAATATTTTTTGTAAAAGTAATGGCTCTTAAAAGAGCCTGGGTTTTTGTTTCTTCTTCTTTTTTTACCATTCGAAACCGCTGAGGTCAACATCTAAAATGTCGTCTACCATTGCTCAATCACTCGTCTCCGGTTGTTGTTGCTGTTCTTGCACCGGTTGCTCTTGCTGTTGACGACGCTACCGTTTTGCTTCGAAATCTAGCACAAACGGCAGGTCGTTCTCAATAGCATACTCGTAGAACTCCTTATATAATTCATATTCATGTTTTCGTTTTCGTCTATTTCTTCTTGAGCGCTCGGCTTCCTTCTTCTTCTTCTCCATGGCGTGTACTCGCCTAAATGCCCTGTCCGTCCTCCTTAATTGACTTAAGGCAGTAAGTCATTTGGAAAACCATCCACAAACTCTATGTTTGATAGACTCTGGGACAGGTCATCAAATTCTTTTTGATGTTCCCATTAACAGTACAAAATCTTCGTCGGAACAGGTTAAAATAGCTCTTCCAAATGATCAAGCATGGAATGAACAAGGTGCGATTTCCCGCTTTGAGATTAACCACAAATGTAATAGTTCGCAGGAGTTTGAAATCTCACGTCCATCGGGTTCATGTGCACAACACGTACTGCGTTATTATTTGACGTGTCCGTTCGTTTTATAATCAGATCCGAGACTTAGACTTTAGACTTTTAGACTTCATTCAAATTTGCACAATTATATATACATACATATTAATATGACAGATACACAGTTACTACACAAAAAAATTAAGTTACAATGATTACAAATAAATTATTGTGCGCAGTGATCAAAGTAGCCAGAAGCTTTCGAGTTGATCACTGCCTATCACTAGTATGAATTTATGAATTTAGAGCGAAACGGATTTATATGCATTTATATACAGTGGTTCTTAATTCTTATTATTATTGTAACTAAATTTGTGAAAAAAGTAAAGACTGAGTATATTTTTTTCGAAATATAGCGACTGAATTAGACAATTTAATTTCAAGATCTATAGTTTGCCATATTTGAGATGAAACAAAGTTGAATGTATGTACACCATAATTTGTTCGGACTTTTGGTCTACCAAAGTTTTGTTTACCAGCAAATCTAGTGTTATAGGAATGACATGTGGAAGCCAGTTGGATAGTTTGAGAAAATACGGTGGGAATATTACTCTTATCATGTATAATCTTATATGTAAATATACTAATTTTTAATTTAAAAATATCAAATTTAAAATCTTTAATAGATTGTAGTACGGTGTCGCATTCTCTTTTTTTGAGGCGAAAAATATGCTTTTTACACATGCATTTTGACCAGATCGAATTTTATTTAAATTAGTTCTGTAGGTATTTCTCCAGCTCATTAATCCGTAATTAAGATAGGGGCATATTAATGTATAATAGAGTTGCTTAACAATCCTTAAATCAATGTAGTATCTCAGTTTATTAAGGACTGCAGTATTTTTAGCAATTTTTTATTTAACATGTTTAATTTGCTGTGTCCATTTAAAATTATTATCTATATAAATGCCCAGATATTTTATATGAGACTTCTCCTCAATATGTCTGACATTTATTATGACGTGTTTTTTTACTTGAAGATTTTAATAACATATAGTTAGTCTTTTTATAATTAATTGAAAGTTTGTTGGTTATACAATACTGCAGAATGTGATTCAATTGTTCATTCATTACTCGCTCAATTTCGTCGACAGATTGATTAGAATAGAAGATATTTGTATCATCAGCAAATATCCTAAAGGAAAGTTTTTTCGAACAATTTTCCGAGAAATCACTCTTCGGAAAAGATTCGTCAAAACGTTTCAAAGGAGCTGCAACCAAACGAACGGCCCTACGCGTAGTATCTGCAGAGGCATGTATCAAATAAACTAGTAACCAAATTTAGTAACCAAAATTAGTAACATTGATTGTGTTAAAAACCGCATGTATTTCATTAGGATTAACGTTCAATATCATTTGATTGCACAGTGCTTCGTGACGCTCAGGCAGACAATTGATATGATAAGATAATGTTCTCATGTCAATGTCAAAGTCATTTTCCTGCAACTCATTTAATATTACTTCCATCGCAGCAAAACAACAAATGAATACAACAACCGAAACATTTTATTAAAAATACACATAATCATCTACAACTTTAACTCGTTTGCAAAATCATGCATAAATTTAGTTGCTAAATAATTGTTCTTATTACAACTTCGCTTCTCTAACGGTTCTTTACTAAAGTTCACAGTTTGGAAAAATCCCTATTCTTCCTCAGGTGCCCACTCGAAAAACCGACATGTACTCTCCTTGTCATTTGGACAACAGAAGAACAATCGATCTTTGTTGAGTCCTTCTTTCTTCACCTTTCCAGTCGCACACGGTAATCTGTGACGGCACTCAGGTTCGCTAATGGCTGTACATCACCCCACATCCAAAAGGAACACGGCTTCGCCTTTTCTCCACACACGAAGAATGGTCTTCCATAATTCACATTCATGAAATTTTTCACCACACACATTTTCGCAAGTTTATGATGTCCATCGCACCGAGAATGAGGCTGCTCCGTACATCTCCAAGCTGTTATGGCTTTTTCATGCATGTAGCCTTCGTCTTCTGTACAAAAGAAATTGCAACTGGGATTCTGACCACAAAACCAAAATGATCCATTGCTTGTTGTGGAATTAGCAGCAGGTTTTCCATGTAAGCACTCCATCGTACAGTTCTGTTGGCGTAAACTGAAGTAACGAAAACTGGCGCACGATCTCATCCTTATATATCGTCAAAGTATGACCGCTTCAGGTGACGTAATGATTTTGCCCAAACTTGTTCACACATGTCCTCAAAATTTGTCCTCTCTCCGGTATGAAAGATAATTCAAAATGGACTCAAATTCACTATCCTCGGTGTTTTCACGAAGATCCATCAGTGAGTTAACAAACGTTGAATCAGGACTTTTCTCTAAATTGTCGAAGTGCTCACGAACATCTTTATGATACTGTAACTTCATTACTCTAATAGCTTCAACAAACTCCCTCCAAACCATACGCTTAACAATCACTCGCTCTATGGCTTCCAAACCATACGATTGCCATCTCTCTTGTTCTGATAACATGATACAATCATGCTGGCGTTGACTCGGATGGTCGAACTCGCAACCACACCATCTCTCTTTAGTAAGTTTACCAACTTTGTAAGCAACAGCCTCTGCATATATAGCCTCTAACAAACTAAAAAGCCTTTTATAATCAGAGGACGAAACTTCGTCCGCATGAACACTGTTGGCCCAGTTCGATTACTCAAAATTTTGTGAAAAATTCATCTTCAAAGGCTTAGCATGCAGTGATATCAGTGAATAAACGTTCAGTCACTTTTATAGACATGTGCAATACAATTACTTAATGCTTACTAAACTGGACGTACACTAAGTACGAACGCTTGGACGTACACTAAATACGAACGCTTCGACGTACACCTCCTGTTGACGTCATACATAATTTCGCTTGAATACTAATTACTTCCGTTATTGAATGGGGGGGAGGGGGGTTACCAACTAATTCTGCCGGCAATTAAGCAAGGAAGCTATAATCAAACAATATTATGACCTGTAGAGTAAAAATATATTTCGTAACATCTAAAATTAAGTATAATACGTTTAGTGCACGAGAGTTACTAGTCTGTGTTGCAGTTGACTACACTGTTACTAGCACATAGGCTAGAGATTTGCATGGTAGTCAAGTATTATATCTTATAATGAAATCAATACAAAGCACTTAGCTTAGCATTAATTAGATCGCGATGACCTTGCAACCCTGCTCGTGCTCTTTCAATCTCTCATTATTACAATATGTTACTGCAATTGATCGCCATATTATCCTTGTTCTAGCTTGTGTTCTATTGTCCCCTATGCACTTGATGTTCTTCACAATAGTGCTAGAAATTCTCAATACCGATTGATAGAATTTGACCAATCCTTCCAAGCAGAATATGCTCGAGGAACATACAATTGTTTTTGCCGATGCGAGTTGCTCCCTTGGGGGTATTCAGCATTAAATACATAATACGCTGCTACTAAGCATTCAACAGCACTGATTATAGTACTTGCTCTAAATTTGACAACTATCATACCCTCTGCAACGAGGGCGGGTGAAAATACCTCTTCTAGAGATGCAATGCCGTCGTGTTGCCTTTATTCTCTCAGCATGCTGAATTTCAGAATGTTTGTCCTTTCTCGTTATCAGTATGAACATGAATATGAAGATTATCGTCATGTGCAAGTTCTGACCAAAGTCTTTTCCTTTGCTTTCGCTTTTCCGTTTCCCTTTCCCCTTTTGGGCGGTACACCCTCTTCATCAACTGGCTGGTCTTGCTAGGTGGTGTCTTATTCACCCGACTCTAAGACTTTAGCCAACTTCTTTTTACGGGAATTGGATGATGTTGAGGGGAGAGATGCCTCGTCAGGGTCCGCACGGGTCTAATGTTTGTCCTTTCTCGTTATCAACATGAACATTATGAATAGTATCATGTGCAAGTTCTTCAATGACTAAAGTCAATTCCATTGCTTACTCTTTTCCTTTCCGTTTCCCTTTCCCCTTTTGGGCGGTACACCCTATTCATCAACTGGCGGGTCTTGCGAGGGTGGTGTCTTCTTGATCCGACTCTAGGAATTTAGCCAAATTTCTTTTACGGGAATTGGATGATGTTGAGGTGGAGAGATGCCTCGTCAGGGTCCGCACAGATTTTCATCAAGCATTCCTTCAATCCTTTTATTGTTGCATTTGATTTAAACTGCTTCACTTCGTTTGAATAACTAAATGGGTTTTTTTCCGCAAGCCATTCTGGATTGCTAAATCGCATTTTGACAACAGAATAATGTGAGATTTCTGGTAGTGTTTAATCTATCCCTTGTCTGAAGTGGTTTACAACTCAAAAAATATCATGCGTTTTAACCCATTAAGCACCAGCGCTCCCCCCTTGATAAGTAAAATTATCTGGCGTTAGGCAGAGTAAAGTCAATTCGACTCATTATATATAAACTGTTAGAAGATTTTGATGTAATATTTTATAATATACAAATTGAATGCAACAATTGAAAGATACTAAATTTCAAGATTAGAAAATCTGAACTTGTAAATCTTTGAACAGTTCATAGTTAGATATAACACATGGCTATTATTGCAATTCATCACATGTGAGATACCACATGTACTAATCATTTCTCAAACTATGCTATATCCCCCCAAAATTCGGTTAGTTTAGCGTGTGCTCAAAACTAAAGAGAAATTCACTTACTCTTCTTAATTCATCAGGATCCAGACACCTGGGCGTCTTGTTTCTGAATACCATTTTACAATTGCTGTTCTTTCCTCATTGTGAACTTGTTCGACCAAAGCAAACCACTCCTGGTTATCTGCACCCAAAACACAAACTGTATCTTCAAGCTGAGGTTAAACTGGAACATACACTTCCTCAAGAAGTTCTGGTTTCTTGAAGTCCAATCAAAGATAGAATGATGGAATCAGAAGGTTCGGGATATTTTCTCCTAATTCTACACGTTGACTGAACACTGTCCCTTAAGGACATAGTTCCTTGGAATGAGTAGTGGTGTCTATGTCCAAGGATGGTAGACAACATTTCCATTGTTCAGGATTCGGATGAAATACTTGCCATTCACAAAAATGAAATATTTACCATCAACTGGTCCAACTTGGAAAATATCACAGAACTCCATAACCTAATCTTTATCTGCTGAACCGATTTTGCAGACAATCCCTCTGCTCATTTTATCTCTATACCAACTACATCCTTGATGGCTAGACGTTTTACAGACATCAATTGATCATACAGTAGCGTGCACATGAATATCAGAGCGTGTAAAGAACCTGTTAACATCAGCAATGATGGTATCATTATCATTAGGATATTGAAGTACAACGGGCAAATGTTTTTTCTTCGGCGGTTCCTGGTTCAATTCATCTTCGGAATTCAAGTGTTGAGCGTTTTGCGCTTGCTTGAGGTTTTGAACCTACTTTTTCGCCTAGACACATGTTTATCAGGAAAGATTTCATTGTTTTAAAATCCTGATGAATTTTAAACTCTTTGCCCGACTCATCAGAAGCCTGGACCAGTCTTGCATATTCTGTAGAATTTTGAAACAATGGTCTAGCAACTTGCACTCGGATGCTAAATTGCTGCCAGTTATATATGGAGACTGAAGAATTGAACACAATTTCTCATTCGGTTCGATTAGTGACCTGACCGCTTTTTTACCTCTTCTGCTCTAGGGAAAGCGTTACCCTTAGTATCTAATGGCTCAAGCGAGTTAATTATGACAGCGAGCCACCACTCTCCGTCCAGATGCCATCGGCATACTCCTGGATGGTCAGATTTGATGCCGCTCTGCAGTGTTGGCCACTGGCCATCATAACCCTTGGCAAGAGATAGTCCTGCATTGCCGAAAATGTTTTCACATCAGCAGTGGCTTGTGGGTCTGCTGCCACCTGTGTCAAACATTTTCATTATCTCCAGAGGAGGTTGGTTGCATCGCTAAATGCTTTATTATTAAATCGTTTAATATAAATCAGCCATTGCAGTCCGAGGACTGAATTACAGTGATAAAAAGTAATTAGTTACAACATTCAATAAGTAGTTATTTACATTAAATTTTTTTTTTTTTATTTACAATAGTCAATAAATCTATAACTTTGCAGCTTGATGTATTATAAAACTATTATTAAATCTATTTGTCTTTGTCCGCTTAACGTTAAACTTTCTATTGTTTCTCAGGCCATATGAGTTTATATTTTTGGTTGGTAGCAATTCAGCCAATTTATGTTGTGGGTTCGTAATAACATTTGAAAACAGCTTATCACACAGCATAGTCCGTCTGTCATACAAGGTTTCCAGTTCTGCTCTTTTTAAGTTTCCTGTATAACTCAAATCTTGATAAATAATACGCAAGGCTCTTTTCTGAATATGCTCTATATCATTTGATAAATACTGCGGTAAACTAGTATGAAACGCCTGACAAGCATACTCGAGCGTTTCATACTAGTTTACCGCAGTATTTATCAAATGATATAGAGCATATTCAGGAAAGCTTTAGGCTACATATCCAGTCTTTTGCCCTGATAGTTTCCCCCAGCATCCAGACATCCTCCTCACGGGCAATTACAAAGCGATAAAATAGCCGCAACGAGATGATACAGTATATGCCTTGAACGTCTGCGGCTAGCATTTGTCTTTCCCCAGCTTGTCGTTGCCGCGAAAGAATTTGTTTCGTAGTGTGTTATTGTTTCGGTTGTCCCACAACTGGGTGACCCTGGTCGCGGGATCCTCCACCTCATATAGGAGGCGGCTGACAAGTCTGGTGTGGTCCTTGGCCACGCTCTTTTTTCTGGAGCCCTCCTCGAAGTCCTTCAGGTGATGGTTGAACAACTGAAGGACAAGGAGGCTCTCGATCTTTCGCATCGTAGCCAAATGGGGTCATCCTTTGGCCGACGTGGCGCCGCGAGCAGCACCCCCAGCGGAGTTTCGTCGACCTCGGATTCCCCCTCCGATGAGAGGTGTTGCTCTTCAACATCTTCGCCGTGTAGTGACGGGTCTGCCTCATGTTGTCTTTTCTTTTCCGCTTCATCTTCTTGCTGTTTGTCTCCGCCAAGTTGGCAAACCTGGCCTTGGCGCGAGCCAACGTTATCTCGTTGTTGTACCTGACAAAAGAGTGGAAGGAATGAGTGTTTTGGTTGATGGATGAGCTAGTGTTTTGGGTCAGGGTTAGGGTTGTTTTATATGGCAATAAGAAAGAAAATATTTTCAATGAGCTAACCTGATGTATTCAGAATCGTTGTTGTTGAGATGGTGGATCCATCGGAGGTGAAGGTCCACCCTTGAAATCAACTTAGAGCATCCCTGGACTGGGCAGGGGAGAGGTGTCCTTTTTTGGTCAACTCCTTCACGGCACGATGGGCAGCAGATACAGTACTGCTCAGAAGTAACCTAATGCTGCGAACACGTTCCAAAACGCGTTCGGAACACCTTCGAGAACGCGTTCGAAACACCTTCGAGAATGCGTTGTGAGACTCGTGTTATTTCTCTTTGAAGCTTCGAGTCTCTTCGGAAAATTCCGAATACTATAAATGACAACAGAATCAACCCAAATTCGTCTAGCTCGCATTATCTGACCAATTCAAACGCGAGAAAAGTATATATATTTGGTCTTAAACAAACATGACGAAATAACAAGTTGAAAATCTAATTCAATGTTTAATGCGGTATTAGCATGCAGTTATCTTCTAAACTACATTAAGTTCTATTCATACCATGAAATATTCATGCGGTCAGTTCTGTTCATGGAATAGCGATGTTGTTAAAATTTGATTCAAAGCTCACCTACAGATACGCTACGCTGCACTTGTTTGTGAAAACAAAAATTTTGAAAATCATAGACATAGTCATAAATAGTAACAATGGATCACAGTGAATGGCTAGTCACTCGCAAGTTACGAGTGGGCGAAATTGCGAATGGCAATTCACTCGCGAGTTACAAGTTAGTGAATAGCGAGTTATTGCAGAGTGAGACAAACGGAAACATCATTACACTGACGTAAAATGTAATGCTTCTTTTGACTGGCGTAATAAAGCGTTTCATTTCACAAAATGTAATATTACAGTACATCAGTGAGTTTTTATCACGATTTCTTCCTGTGTGAGGATAGCTACCTTCTATTAAATTAAACAGCGATGCTACAATTTCAATATTCAAAATTGCACATATGGCACCGTCCCTGTCAGACAAATTTAGTTTGCCACGTCGAGATAAAATGCACGACTAAATATCATCCATAAAAAGGCATGAATATTGTGTGCTGGAAGAGTTTTTCTTCGGACAAAGTTCTGATCAGCTAGACTTAGTCCATAATGTATGCTATAATATATGCGTTGGCAAAAAACGCGCCTGTCATTTTCGATAGTAAATTACACTTGAATTATAAGTACTATTTACAACATGAGCGGCCGTGTTGTATTGGATATATCAAGAATGTGATCTGAGATTGTACCCTGACTTAGATTTGATCATGATGATATCAGCGATATGCTGTTGCGCCAGGCTATGTAAAGCCTTATAAGTAAAGAATAAGACTTTTAAATCAACTCTAAACTTGATAGGAAGCCAAATCAGCAGAACCTCTTAAAACTAGCCAGCAGGATACGTTTCACCTTCGTTCTCCTTGTTCTTGTCTCCAAACTTCTTATTTTGACCGACGGCAATCTGCCCGAGATACTCCTATGTGACTAAGGACTCCTAGTTTCATCAGATCAGAGCAGATCAGATCCAACAAAGACGGACTTCGAAATTATTTGCCAAATCATTCCATCAAATGCCTCATTTTGATTTTGAGTTTTCCCATCAAGACACTTTCTCAGGAGGTCATCTTCACTTAAACGGGAATATAATTTCTATATATAATTCCTCAGTGAGTTTTAGTGTTCTTGGCTTTATGCCTTTGATAACCACACCAGCTATCCTCACCTTCAGAACAGTATACTGACACTGTGCGTCATAGGAAGCACAGTGAAAAAGTGTGGCAGGCATGAAAAGATTGTTCTTTGTTGTGTTAAGGTTGCTTTTATTGCTCCCGATAGCAATGCCATAATAGTTTTGCATTTTGTCAATCATACTATCATTCAACTCTGCTTTTCTTTCCAAAACGCTTTGTCAAAATTGGGTGTGTTTAATTAATGGCAGCCGTAAAATCACCAAATAAGAAACGTAAAAAAGTCAGGGAGGTGAAAGAATTTTGCTTTGAATTTTGGTAAGAATATCATGCATACGTTATATATGAACACACACACATTTTTTTGTTGACCATCTTTGCCATTGTAACAATCTGATTTCTTGCTGTGACGTTTTGGTGGTCATGTGGAATTGACATTCACCTTATTCACGTTTTTTACTGACATCTGTGGCGGTTGGAGTGACATAGGTGTTTTTTTTTTTTTATTGAGAGCTTGCATGTTTTCCCAGGTGGGTTCGAAATGGCTTTTCAGCTTGTCAGCAAACGATTTGCGCAGCACTTTTTGGCCGTGTTCCTGCAGGACGGGAATGTTCGAGGTGATTGTGTCTCTGTACTCGGAGAGTGCGACATCTGGCCTTGTCAACCATTCACAAGTGAACGGTTGCAATCGTTTGAATATTTTCGACGGCTCAGGTGCCTCATCGTGCCGTCCATACGGTGTTATGAAGCTTCTGGCACATTGCTGCCACCATTGGACTCCCCCAGATTTATTTGATGATTTTTGTGGCGAAAATTTGCTCATCTGCAAAAATAAGAAGTGTTTTTGATTAAAATGAATTGATGGCAATTACTTACTGTGAGTTGACAAGTTACTAACGAAATTACACAAGTGACACAGGCGTCATTTGGGAAGAGAGGATGCGTGTCATAAAACGTATATTCTCCAGTTTTCTACAGCGGGATAGTGCAACATACGCCCCTCCTGCACGGTAACCGTACCGTGCAGGTACCAGGAGCATCCCGCTGAGCAAAGTGGTCCATTCTTTTTCGTTCATTTTGACAGGATACTACTAATACATGACCAACACTAGAATATAATATAGCGAAACCCTCGCCAATAAAATACAGCACATATTGAAATAAAGAAATTAGTTTAATTTGCATGATGTTGTAGCCTAATTTCAAATAAAGCCCTAGTGTGCCATGTTATTTTTAAATGAAACGCACAGCCGTGCAGTTTAAAAAGTGTAGGAGATAGTGGAAGCTATACCGCGAATGGAGGGGGACTGTGTTCTCTAGAATAAATCTTCAAAAATCTTTCTTTACAATTTTTATCTTCTACCTCTTTAAATTTTAATTTCACATTCATGTCATATTTCTTGAGGCAGACCTCACATTCCGTGCTCTGGGAAGGCAGAAGCCAATACTTCAAGCAATCCTGGTGCACAAACATTGTTGTCCCCCAACAGAGACAAGGGAACATCATATCAGTGTCGCTTAAATCTACCTCCTCATGGCATATTCGGCAACATCCCTAAAATAAAAAAAACCAACAAAGACAGTTCTACGATGTAAAAGCATGTAATATGCAGGTTATATTAAAATAAATCGTTGACGTCATCGCGGCAAGGTAAAAGCTGGTAAAAACACTGCGCAAATATATTCTCTAAACCTAAATAAAAAGCTTCATCCTGTTCTGCTAAAAATTTAACTGTGAACATTGACGATTCATAGCCGCTCGTGACGCCACTTTACCTTTTTCATTGAACAAGGTTCGTCATCTGATTTCCTGAAAAGAAACACGGTCAGCCGGGAAAATCTGTTTCATATGGCACAAGGCATGGCATATCTTTACGCTGAAATACCCAGAGTCAAACAATCCATTGCACATCGTGATACCAAAGGCAAGAATTGGTTAAGAACAACCTCACATGCTGTATCCCCGATTTTGGTCTTTCTTTTGAAACTTGACAGTAAAGATGGCCCTGAAGACACGCACGCGAGTCAAACTGCCTTTTTTTAAACCTTGTTCAATATCCGGTTCCTACTAGAGATCAATAATAAAAACCCTGAATAATTACTTAATAATGCATCATAATGGTTTAATTATATCAAATCGTCCAGCCTCGTACACAAATGCTCTCGATCTTCGCTCCTGCTTGAATTAAGGCTCTCGTATAAGCTGTTCATGTGACCTGTCATATTTTGGTGGATTTGCCAATTTGTTTTTAGGTTTAATTAGGATTGTAGTATACTGCGAATGGAGGAGGCAGGATTCTCGAGAATAAAAAATCATCAAAATTCTTTCTTTACAATTTTTCGGTTGCACCTGTTTAATTTTTTTTAATTTGACATTTATGTCATATTTCTTGAAATCCCAGCCGGAATGAAGATGAAGGAGCTTCATGAATGTGACAGTTGGATTCCCTGGTGTGACATTGTAATCAACAAGGTTACATTAGAAGTGAAGTATGATTATTCAAAAACGCAAGGTATGTTTTTTTTTGTAGATACATTTTAAAGTGCACATAACATGGACCATTTGTTCAATTATTTGCTTCCAACAAAACAGAAAGGGCGTTTTGTGATTTTCATTTATTATCGTTGCAGTGCTACACATAAATTATTGAATTAAATAAAACTTTCTAAAAGTGTGTACTTTCTTAATGGGTTAATAAGCAAGACTCCTTGATGACAAGTAATATTATGTCAATGCAAGTCAGTACTTCTTGCCTGTAAAACTATATTTCAGGTAGTATAAACTAGCAAAAATCCAACATTTCTATACCTACTTGCTTACTTGGCTCTTCAAACTCGGCATTCTTTATCTGGTTTAACAACAACTTCACATTCTGCTTGTGCTACTCTCTGCCATTCGAAGTATCTTCTTTTCAACAACTTCAAAGTTGTCAACCATTCTGTTGACAATTCTGGGGTCCTCTACGACCCTACCAAATTCTGCCTGGACCTATCGCTAATAGTAAAATACACATCTTGATGAGGCAGGGAGGGGGGGGGGGGTCACCAGAATGCTGCATGTGACCCTAATAATATGGCAGCAGAAGCAAAATGACAAAGACTGATAAATGTTATTTGTTAGTGTTGTTAGGCTATTGTGTTAACTAGTGAAAAGATACACTTCAACAATATATTTGTTTATAAACTGTTATATACAAACAGTCAAAATTAACGTTATACAATTTGACCATCAATAAATACTGTATTGTCTCAATTAAATAATAAAAAAATTCTTATTATTTATTAATAGTTCAATTAAAAATATGCTCTCAAGAATATTTTTAGTTAGAGTTGATGTAATATAAAAACACAATTAACAAATTATATTAATTTATTAAAAATTAATTCATTAAACGACTGTCTTAACCTCAAACAGTCACTGTTTTTCCATGAAATCAAAAAAGCGATTATAAAACTGCTGCTTTTCCTCTTTCATTTCTCTCAACAGTGTTAACTTTTCCTCTTCTGTTTTCTCTCGTTTCTCACTGTATTCTTGTAAGAAATTTAACATTTCAGCAGCAGAAGATCTGCCAGTTGGTCTTTTACGACACCTCTTGCCTCTGGTAGGGGCAAGGGATGAACCATCTGCTTGCTCCCTCACATAGGCACTTGGAAAGATCATCATAATATTTCCAGGTTTTCCTATCATTGCCAGCTTTATTTTTGTGGTCTTCTCACTCTTTTTGTTTTGAAACCATTTTACTCTGAGTGTATATCCACACTGGGCACACAACACCAACACAGAACCGTCCTGACCGCATAGCTCAGTTGGCAGAGCATTGGGCTAGTATTCCAAAGGTCGTAGGTTCGATTCCCACCATGGCCGGGCATATTTTTCAAGCTTGCCCGGTGTGGATATACACTCAGAGTAACATCACAAATATCATATTCACCTGAGTACACAACTCCAACACAGAAAAAAATCATGTTACTAGATTACATTGGTATCGAAGGAACTCGATTCTGTTCCGAAAATGTTTCGGCATCCTACGCCTCATCAGTGCAGCTTGGTACACATCTAGATACGCGATGACTTTCGTATTGATATACATTACACTTGCTCTCCCAAGCGCATGTGGTACAACACGAGCCATCAACGCATCCAGACATGCGCAGAGTGACATGGGGCCAGAGTGCTCAAACAACAACACGAGCCAACAACGCATCCAGACATGCGCAGAGTGACATGGGGCCAGAGTGCTCAAACAAACACATCTAGATACGCGATGACTTTCGTATTGATATACATTGGTACACATCTAGATACGCGATGACTTTCGTATTGATATACATGACACTTGCTCTCCCAAGCGCATGTGGTACAACACGAGCCATCAACGCATCCAGACATGCGCAGAGTGACATGGGACCAGAGTGCTCAAACAACCACGAGGAAAGTAAGCTTTGCATTATTGCTAATGGACACCCAAATAACTCCACAGAGTGCTCTACAACACCGAAGTGAAGGAGCGTAATAGTACAATCTGCAGACATGCATGTTTCGGCGTCCTACGCCTCATCAGTGCAGCTTGGTACAGATACGCGATGACTTTCGTATTGATATACATGACACTTGCTCTCCCAAGCGCATGTGGTACAACACATCCCAAGCGCATGTGGTACAACGCATCCAGACATGCGCAGAGTGACATGGGGCCAGAGTGCTCAAACAACCACGAGGGAAGTAAGCTTTGCATTATTGCTAATGGACACCCAAATAACTCCACAGAGTGCTCTACAACACCGAAGTGAAGGAGCGTAATAGTACAATCTGCAGACAAGCATGTTTCGGCGTCCTACGCCTCATCAGTGCAGCTTGGTACACATCTAGATACGCGATGACTTTCGTATTGATATACATGACACTTGCTCTCCCAAGCGCATGTGGTACAACACCAGCCATCAACGCATCCAGACATGCGCAGAGTGACATGGGGCCAGAGTGCTCAAACAACCACGAGGGAAGTAAGCTTTGCATTATCGCTAATGGACACCCAAATAACTCCACAGAGTGCTCTACAACACCGAAGTGAAGGAGCGTAATAGTACAATCTGCAGACATGCATGTTTCGGCGTCCTACGACTCATCAGTGCAGCTTGGTACACATCTAGATACGCGATGACTTTCGTATTGATATACATGACACTTGCTCTCCAAGCGCATGTGGTACAACACGAGCCATCAACGCTTCCAGACATGCGCAGATTGACATGGGGCCAGAGTGCTCAAACAACCACGAGGGAAGTAAGCTTTGCATTATTGCTAATGGACACCCAAATAACTCCACAGAGTGCTCTACAACACCGAAGTGAAGGAGCGTAATAGTACAATCTGCAGACATGCATGTTTCGGCGTCCTACGCCTCATCAGTGCAGCTTGGTACACATCTAGATACGCGATGACTTTCGTATTGATATACATGACACTTGCTCTCCCAAGCGCATGTGGTACAACACATCCCAAGCGCATGTGGTACAACGCATCCAGACATGCGCAGAGTGACATGGGGCCAGAGTGCTCAAACAACCACGAGGGAAGTAAGCTTTGCATTATTGCTAATGGACACCCAAATAGCTCCACAGAGTGCTCTACAACACCGAAGTGAAGGAGCGTAATAGTACAATAGTACAATCTGCAGACATGCATGTTTCGGCGTCCTACGCCTCATCAGTGCAGCTTGGTACACATCTAGATACGCGATGACTTTCGTATTGTTATACATGACACTTGCTCTCCCAAGCGCATGTGGTACAACTCGAGCCATCAACGCATCCAGACATGCGCAGAGTGACATGGGGCCAGAGTGCTCAAACAACCACGAGGGAAGTAAGCTTTGCATTATTGCTAATGGACACCCAAATAACTCCAAAGAGTGCTCTACAACACCGAAGTGAAGGACAGATATATATACATATATGTATATATATGTATATATGTATATATATATATATATATATATATATATATATATATATATATATATATATATATATATATATATATTTATATATATATATATACATATATATATATATATATACGACCATCATGGCGACTGATCATGCATCTCAGAGCTCTGTAAATTTTGGTGAAAAGTTTCCTCTAAACGAACCAGAAGTGACACAATCGGTTGATAATGGTAACCATTTGTGTTACGAAACAAATAAAGGCAAAATTCAGTTCAAATGGATGTCTAGTTTTGACAAATTAGCTCAATTTGTCGACCAGTCATTGAAGGTCGATGGCGTGTGGTCGGAAATCACCACTAACGGAGGTTATCATGTGTGCAAAAGTCCTGAGGTAACTCTAAGTTTTTATCCAACAACTAAAACTTTGAAAATTCAAGGACCGAAGCAAGTATATTATCGTTCACTTTTGCAAGACATTGGTGGACTAGATATCAATAATTTTAAGAAGCAGGAGACCAACCCTGAAGCCCTCGAGCGAGACGAAGAAGAAAGCTTCGATGCTTCATTAGTATGCATTTCTTCACAATCAAGCGTGGGTGAAATGCCTACGGTCTGCTGCGGTTCTAGTTGTGCGGAAGGAATGAAAAAACTATGGCAAGAAATAGAAGCTATTAAAACCAATCTTAAGATATCTGAAATGAAGAGCGCTTCCGCTAGCTGTCCAACGTGCGAAACTAATTTAAAGGACAAGCAAGACGCACTGAATAAATGTGTGGAGTATGAAAATACAATAAAACGTCTTGAAGATGAAAAATTAAGTCTAATAACAGCTATTAGACTTTTACAGGAAGATTCGCAAAGCATCCACTCCAAAACGGACAAGATTCCGGCAAATTCTGGTCCATGGGAAAAAGTTAATCGAAAGGGCAAGCGAAATAATAATAACAGTCAAGATCAAGCCCAAACGAAAAATGATGATAAAGCTGCTGATGCAGAAGGACATGGCGTAAATCAAGACGAAAGCTCCAAGAAAAGGTCAGTTGTTATACTTGGAGATTCTATGACTAAAAACATACAAGGATGGAAATTATCAACTAAAGACAAGCATGTAGTAGCTAGAACATTTCCCGGGTCTACTGTTGAAGACATGTCTGACTATTGTAAGCCATTTACAAGGCAAAATCCCGAAAAAATTATTCTGCATGTAGGGACTAATAACGTTGTATATGACACTCCAACAAATGTCGCCACGAAGATAACTAATTTAGCTAAGAAAATTAAGAAGGATCTTCCTTCGACAAAAATAGCGATATCGGGACTAATCTGTAGGAAGGATGAGAAGCTTAACAATAACATTAAGCAGGTGAACGACGTATTAAAGAAAAGTTGTAATTCTAACAATTGGAAATTTATATCTAACCATAATATTGGAAATGACATGATTAATGGTAGTGGTGTTCACCTGAACCGTAAGGGCGTGTATACTTTCGCCAGTAATCTTAAGTTAGCGATAAATAAGGATTGAAAATTTGACAGCGGAAAGATCGGAAATACCGCTAATTGTGATAAAAATCTGATGCCATTCCAAAGGATAATAAGTCAAACTAGAGGGTTCAAAATGGGATCATTAAACATTGCTAGTTTAGTTAAACATTTTGATGAATTACAAGTTTTTATGGAAAAAGAACCATTTGATGTTTTAGCAATTAATGAAACCCGACTTGATAGTTCTATATTAGATTGTAGTGTTAGTCTACCAGGATATAATTTATTGAGACGTGATAGAAATAGAAATGGCGGGGGTGTTTGTGTATATAGCCGTAAAACAATTGAATTTAAACATCTCCCTAACCTGGAAATGCAAGCTCTTGAAATGATAGTATTTAGCGTTAAAAAGCCGAATTCAAAAGATTTTCTTATTTCCTCTTGGTATCGTCCTCCAAATTGCTCTCTTGAGCATTTTAATGATTTTGAGGACTTTTTAGATAAAGCGGAACAAGAATTCGATGATCTGTATGTAATGGGTGATGTGAACGCTAATATGTTAAATATCCTTGATGTCCCTCGGGGACATCTTTGCGATATTTTTCAAACATATCAATTGTCGCAGTTAATCGATGAGCCGACGAGAACCACTAGTGAGTCGTCTACATTGATTGATATATTTATAACGAACAATAAAGAAACTATTGTTCATTCGGGCGTTTATCCATTATCTATTAGCGATCATTGTCTAATTTATGCCGTCAGAAAAATTGGCATATCTAAAAACAAACCGAAGTTTATCACGACTCGTAGTTTTAAGCATTTCAATGAGGAAAAGTTTAAGACAGATTTAAGTAAAGTTGATTGGCCTGTGATTGATATGTTTGATGATGTCGACAAGGCATGGGACAATTGGAAAGATAAATTTATATCAATTGTCGATAATCATGCGCCACTAAGAACTATACGTGTAAGAAATAAACCAGTTCCTTGGATTAACAATACGATCAAATTTCAGTTGTATCAAAGAGATATGCTGAAGAAAATTGCTAAGCGTACTGGAAAGCCGGACGATTGGACCAACTATAAGAAAGCTCACAATAAAACAAATTTAGACGTGATCACTGCGAAACGTCGTTATTATCAAAATAAATTAAACGAGTTTAAAGACGACTCAAAAGGCACTTGGAAAACGTTAAATAGTCTTATCGGCAAACCATCCAAAAATACTGAAATTAATGAAATTAAAATTCCTTCAAATGTTAACGACACTTTAACAAACGCATGCGATATTTCTAATCATTTTAATAATATTTTTCACAAATTGGAGCAAAGCTTGCTGCTGAAGTTCCAGATTATAATGTTGATCCGACAAAATATTTAAAAAAAGCAAATTCGTCTTTTGCTTTTGTCGAAATAGAACCCGAAGAAGTTTTAAAATTATTGAAGAAGCTCGACATTTCAAAGGCCACTGGTCTAGATAATATTTCGAACAAGATATTAAAAATCGCAGCACCTTGTATTTATGGACATCTTGCCAGCCTATTTAATTTATCCATTAAGCATAATGTTTTTCCAATTGAGTGGAAATCAGCAAAGGTTTTTCCTATTTTTAAATCCGGTGAACGCAGTGACTCAAATAATTATAGACCAATATCTGTTTTGCTTGGTGTTTCTACGTTATTTGAGAGATTGGTCTATAATCAGATTTATGCATATCTAATGAAATTTGATCTAATTAATTCAAGGCAATTCGGTTTTAGGTCACTGCATTCAACTGTAACTGCATTACTGGATTTAACTAACCAGTGGTATTATAATATTGATAGAGGTATGATCAATGGTGTCTTATTTTTAGATTTAAAAAAAGCTTTTGACACTGTTGATCATAATATATTATTAACCAAATTAAGTTTTCTTGGAATCTGTGATAAAACATTACATTGGTTTAAATCATATTTTACTGATAGAACTCAACAATGTTATGTTAATGGTTATTTATCTGGTAAAGTGCAGGTCAAAAGTGGAGTTCCCCAAGGTTCAGTTCTAGGTCCTTTATTATTTCTTGTTTATATAAATGATTTGACGACTTCTGTTAATCATGGTACTGCCCGAATGTATGCAGATGATACTAACGTATCATTCTCAGCATGTGTTTTTTCTGAACTTCAACGGCAGATGAAAAAAGACCTGGAACATTTAGAATCCTGGCTTATAGCCAACAAACTTACTTTAAATACAGTGAAAACTGAATATATGGTTGTTGGTTCAAAACAAAGAATAAATTCACTTGTGGGTGATCTGACACTTTCCCTTAATGATATATCTCTACGTAAAGTTAAGAGTACTAAGTGCTTAGGAGTGACAATAGACGAATTTCTCACATGGGCTGAGCACATAGATAATGTAATTAAAAAATTAGCGATCGGCGTTAGTCTTCTACGTAGAAATAGAAAAGTCTTGAAAAAGTGCGATCTTATGAATGTATATAGAGCTATTGTAGAACCTTATTTTGATTACTGTTGTATAATTTGGGATGACATCAGTGACTATTTGGCGTTAAAGCTTCAAAAACTTCAAAATCGTGCAGCACGTATTAGGCCTATTACTGGAGCCGACTATTCGCGAAGGTCCAGTGATATATTAAACGAATTAGGATGGGAGAAGTTGAGTGAACGAAGACAAAAATGCAAAGCAGTGATGATGCATAAAATATTAAACCATAAAGCACCGTCATGTTTCTTAGGTTTATTTAGACCAGAAAGTGGTGCCAATTTTTATGATCTTCGTTCTTCAACAGAGAATGTCGAACTTCCACTAATTCGAACTGAATATTACAAGAGAAGTTTTGTTTACTCCGGCGCAAAAGTGTGGAACTCTCTTCCTGAAGTTTTGAAAAAAGAGAGTTCATTAAAGCGGTTCAAAGATCTTTTAAAAAAATATCCATTTTTCCGCTGATCATTAATTAATTAAATTAATATATATTGCAAACTATAATATACGGCTTACAGGTAGAACAAAACTGTATATGATTTTGATGTAACCACCGTATTGAAATAAAATTTTTAATAATAATAATAATAATATATATATATATATATATATATATATATATATATATATATATATATATATATAGAAAGACACAAAAACTTAGCAAGCTTTGTTTGGCATATTTATTACTATACAGTTTCGTACCACGTAAATAACGTGGCACTCTTCAGATAAAATAGCCTATGTTTGACCTATAGCTTCTTAACGAACTTTTTAAATATGTACAGATGGTATAAAGGACGCTTATCTAATTACAAATCAATTAACACCTCAAGTAGTGTCACGAAAATATTAGTATCAAATTATAAAGTTTTTAAGTAGAAATTTATTAGCGTGTATACACGTGGAGACAAGTTCGTTGCGACGATTAAGTGTTGCAATGTCCGGTTTACAAATAATGAAATACTTCTCCCAGATACACAAGTTACATCTCTTGGATGCATTACTGTAAGATTTAGCGCGTTTTAAAATTTTCCATCTGATAGAGTAACTAATATTATTGTTCTTAAGATTCCAGATGTATTTACTTAATTCAGTAGAATTGCGCTTCTCATAGTTATTAAATGAAGCTTTGTGAT